GGCAAAGTCTGCAGCAAATTGAAAATTGAAAGTTTGCTTCCATTTTTTTCACCAGTTTTTTTTTTTTTTTGCCAGTTTTTCCTTCATAGATACATTTTGTTTTGCAGTTTGTCTGCGACTTTTCCTTGGGGTTAACTACGCCAGTATGCAGTTGGAGGAAGCTTCTGCCTGCCTGCCTGCCCCAAATGAGGTAGAAATAGTAGTCACGGGGGTTTAGTTCTTTCTTTGTTTATGTACAGATTTATCTGGCAGATATTTAAGCAGTGAAAAGTTTCAGGAAAGGAAGAGCTATAAAAAGGTAAAAAATCAAAGAGAAATGGGAACATCTTTCGACCTAATAACATCACGTAATGTTTGAGGTTCACTAAACCGCACATTTCTCTGCCCTTTCCCCTTAACAAAAAATCGAAAATCCTGCGTGGAAAAATCAAAGCCCTCGCCCGTGTGTGGCATTCAGTTTTTCCAGCAATTTTCACACTCAAGCTGGCATGCACTTTGCCTTCTGCATTTCCTCACTGCCATTTCCCTTGCCCTCCCTCGCTCTCTCTCTCTCTCTTGCTACCATTTCCATTTCCTTCGTGTTATCTGACAGCTGCACTTACGCAATGTTACGCATAAGTGCCCCTGCACCTGCCCCTACTTGTGGCACCTAAAATGTATGCAACGTAGGTGCTTTGGATGCCCTTTTGCAATGAGGGCATCAGACATTTGGCACGAAGTTCATTAAAATTCATGGAAATTTGTGGCTAACTATTTATTATCGTCTTTCGGTTACATCTATCAATTCCATCAACGAATGAATATCTATCAAAATAATATTCTCTTTGGTGCCAAAAAGGGTATTCAAACCTCTCTGCAGCTCTCCCTCTCTCCATATTTATTTATGAATAAAATTTAAAAATATTTCATGGTTGAAAAATCTGTGAAAATTCATTGAAAAGCCCCTGCGCGAAATGATTTCCGAATTGCACGACAAAAGCGCCCTTCCACATGCCATTAGGCCAAAGGCGCGGAAATTGTGCGCGGGAAACTGTGTGGAAAAGTGTTCTGTCATTGCCAGCAAATGCCGGAGATATTTTCATTTCCATTGGCTGTCAATAGGAGCGAAGGTTTTCATTTCTCCACGACTCAAAAATCATTGCTCGACTTTATTAGCAATCATGACTAAGCGCACCGACACTGCCCCTGCCCCGCACCTTGAGGTTCGCCCTTGATGAACACTTTTCTCGGCTGCTTTTCTTATTCTTTTTTTTTTTACGCTGACAAATTGACTTGCCACATGGCCTAAAAGTGTGTGGCTGGCAGCTGTCACGAGACGTTGCTACTAATAACTCAATAAAGGAAGTCATGCCTCATGCCCCAGGCCGCAAGCCAGCTCCTCTTGCCTCTTGCCACTTGCCCCTCCTGCGGCTTACCTTTTGTTTGGGGGGAGACGAAATTTAAGCCGATTTCCGCTTGTTTGTCGCACAATTACAATTTGTCAGCATTCGGGGCTTACAGAGGTGTCCTTGGACTGTCTTGGGGTGCTAAGGATATATGTATATATCCGATGCCTAATTAGGGATTAGGCATTGCGGCAACGAACAGTGTGATGTACGAGACAAAAGTGACACAAAGGGCGAAGCACGATGAACGGACTTTGATGCGTGTTTGAAAAGTGTGAAAAATCATAAATTTTTGCAGTGTTTGTTTTTTTTTAATTGGTATTTAAATGAAAGAAAAAGAAGGTACCCTCTATCCTACTCTTGCTACCCTGTACTGTTAGGAAGGGCATATGCGAATGAAGAATAAAAGGCACAAGGCACCTGCCCCCCCACTAAACGACGTACAAGAAAATTTTGCAATTAAAAATCCCTAAATAATCTCAGACTTAAATTAATCTCAAAATATTGTAGATCATTAAACACTCTTGTTGACCTCTATAAGTGCTCTTGCTTAACCCCAGAGAACCTATTCGTAGTGCCAGAATTGTAGTAGCCATCGATGTGACGCTGTACAAATTGCCTCTCTCGCTCTCTCTCTCTCTCTCTCTCTGGTCAGGGCCACGCCTCTTTAGGCCTTGAGGCGCTACTAATGACCGCACGTAGAACATCTTGGTCCTGCGCTTGCCATAAATAACAGTAAAGCGCATTTGTCATAGGACCTTCGGGTCACAAAAGGTGACTCCCCCACCCCCTAGCTCGCTCACACCCCGACTCACCGAGTCACCTTTTGGCCAAGTGCAGTCCTTGGCCTTTGTATCGCCGCTGGACGTGTTCTTGTGCCTGTAAATCAGCTCATTAGTTAAGTTGGCAGCAGCAGCAGCAGCAGCTCCAATGCCTGCCACACGTATTGCTGCTGCTGCTGCTGCTGCTGCTGTTGGTGCTGCTGCCCCGCGTTGTAGTCCTTCGTTAAGCTTCATTTAATCAAAAACAAAAGTTGGTCTAGAAACCACGTGAAAAATCACCGCCATGCTTAAGGCCTACGCCTCGTACTCCTCGTACTCCTCGCACTCTTTGAATGCTAATAAATCTCTCCGTTTCGGATGGGCTATCAACGCTTTTCGTTCATTGGGTTGGGTTGGGTAGGGTAGGGGAGGTTAATATACGATTTAGGGCAGTAAAATATCTGCCCAGAAAGTTCGAAAGGGATTGAACGCTGCTTAAGCCATCGAAGTGGGGGCGATTGGGCGATGGATGTGTATGGATTTGGATGTGGATGGATGATACGTGTGTGAATCAAAAAGTTAATGAAGAGTTTTCAGCTGCTGCTGCTGCTGCTAAAGGAATGAAAGGGTTCAGAGTTCAGCAAGTAAGAAATGCTCCTTTGGGGCTTCCTTTTCCTTTACATATTGTTATTGTTTAAAACTAACGTTTAAAGATCATTAGAGCAGAGAGAGATGAGACAGAAAGAGTGCGTAAAACTCTTTGGCAACAATAATAATAATTTGCTGGCAAATGCCCCGAAGGGAAAAGCAAGAGGGAAAAACCCTAACGAGGGGTCGAAAAGTGCGCTCTAAGCAGTGGGTGGGTGGGGCTGCTCTTAAGGGAGGATGAGAGCAGGTTGAGTGGGGGAAGAGCTGCCTCCCATAATGATGGCTATAATGACGTCAAAGTTGTCAGGTAGCGGCGCTTTTTCATATTGTTTTGGCTCCATTTAAACCTTACCTTTTGTCCTGTTACTGCTACTGTTACGCTTTCACCCGCCCCATCAGCTCTCACCTTTCCCCTTGCCATGACTCTGCTTGCCACTATGATAACGATAATGATGATAATGGCGCGAGCATTGCTGCCACGTTGCTGCTGGATGCCTCGAAGGCTACTCTCGACTCTCTCGCTCGTCCGCTAATCTTAATTACTTTTTGTTTAATTACTTTGACGTTTTGGAGGCGCCTCCAACGCTGCTGCCTGCCTTCTTCTTCACTGCTTCCATTGTTTCCACTCTCCAACGCCCGAGGGCAGCATGCAGCGTACCGCAGCGGCTGCTTTTCTTTTAAAAAATAAATAATGTTTACTTTATATATATTTTTTTTTTTTGCACCGGAAAAACTTTCCACAGTTAAAACAAAAGGAAAAGGCGAACCTTTTTTTTTGTTGTTGTTGTTGTTCCCACCGTAAGACAAATAAAGGCCCAGCATATGCTTTTAGGCGTTTCTTCCACTGCTTGCCCTCTGAATTAGGCACATTTTCCCGGAAAATACACGCCTACGCCTACATATTTTGTAAACTAATTTAGTGATTAAAATCTGTGGAAAGAAGAAGTCCACCTCGAGGGTGTGGAATCCTTACCAATTAACATAATAATGTTGATTTTTTATGGGCGAAAGTTTTGTCATTGACTTTTGGCATCAAAATGTTTGCCCAAGGACCTGCCAGGACACCTGCCACTCTGCCCCTGGCTGACTGAGTGGGGCCCAGGAATATTTTGTCACAGTCAAAAAGGAGAAGGCCATGTAGTGTTGTATAGGCCATGAAATTGTTTGATTGCACATTAAGTGGTGCCTCTCTGCTGCCCTGCCTGTTTTCTATGTGCCACAAAGTACGCAACGCAACGCACCGCACCACAAACGAGAGAGGGAGAGGGAAAGAGAGATAGCTGCTCCTGCAACAGGAATAATTTATGGGGAAAATCACAAAACCGAAACCAGAGAAAGACACACCGGAAAAGTGGCCAATATAAATTCCACAAAGAGAAAGACCAAAAGGGGGGGGAGGAGAAATACTACAAAGTGCTGATGGTGAGGGGAGCAGAAGAAGAAATAATGTGGGAATGCGAGAAATCTGTATGTGTGTGTGTGTGTGATTAGACTGAAGTGGTACCCTGGAATATACTTCTGGGAATTTTGTAGAGAATTTTATTTGAGAGAAAGATTTTAATTTGAAGATTTATTAGGAAAGGATGTTTAAGATTGTAGGTGGGTAAAAATATGAAGAATAATGAAAATACGGCTATGGTAATTATGATAAAAAGAATCATGAAATTATATCCATGGCAAACTCCTTCTAAAATCCTTCACCAATTACCTGAAATGTTACCAAATGCCTGCCATATCCCAGCATACCCTGTAGAGGTAGCACTTGCACACCTACGCCAGCAACGGCGAATGGGATGGAATGTGTGTTTTATAAGCCATGGATGGCCCTCAAAAGTATGCTATATAAATGTTAAGGCCAAGCAGACAGCCAGAGAGAGCCACAACGTGGCTTATGACGTGTTTAAAAGCCACAAGAGGGTCTGGTACTGAGAGGGGAGAAGCATTAAAAGTGGAGCAGAAATAGGAGGAAAGAGGAGCAAAGAAGTCAGCCAAAGAGAACACACAAATATAAGAGAGAGAATAAAAGCAATGGGAAATAGTTGTGGGAGCATTAAATATGCTTTGAATATTCCCTTCCCTTCCCTTCCCATCCATTTTGATCTCTGCGTAAAGATAGTGTCCAGCCCAAACTTGCCGACAGGCACTGAAAAAGATAAATGTATCTTATAGATACACACAACGCAGTAGAAAGTAAATCTCAGCTTGCCTTTCACTCGATGTTCGATTCGTTCAATAAAACAAGAAAATTCCGGGAGTAGCAAGCGAAAAACTTTAACCAAAATTCAAGCTAAATTCCAAGTGAAAATGGTATCCAAAACGTCTTGTGTAACCGCCGGAGTCATTCATCTGATTGGCGCCGCTTTCTTTGTGCCCCAGCCGCAGGACCAATGCTCGTCGGCGCCTAAATTGGGCAGCCTTTTGTTTCTCTTGGCCGCGTTGCTGTTTCTGGGCCACGCGCAGGTGATTCCCAGACGTTACATGCTAATGGCACCGGGAATCATTAGCTTTGTGGAGCTGATGTTCACCGTCTTCGTCCAGGAGTGGCTGATGCACGTCCTGTGGTGCGGCATGGAGCGCTTCGTGCATCGGATGGCGCGAATCTTTTGCCAGAACTGCCTGTGGTGTGAATATGGTGTGGAGACTCTCGCCACCCTCCTCATGGGCCTCTCAGCGTTGTATGTAGTCATCGAGGTCGTGTGCCCTGCGAAGGTAAAGGCTGCTGTGGAAAAGACCTTTGGCAGGGCCTTGGATCAGCTGCACATTAACCGAGGCAGTGGCTCGTTCGTTGAGAAGATCAAGGATTTTAGGTGCTATGTCAGGGGTGCCATATTCTTCTTCCGCCTCACGAGGGAGCAAAGGATGCTCAGCGTTCGCGTGTTTGAGGTGCAAGTGGAGCGCAGGAAGCGAGGATTTGTGGAGGCAAGGCACGAACAGCAAGATAACTACCAGGAAATAGCTGCGGAGAAAGAGGAGGAACCTGCAGAGATGCATGCCCCACTGGAGAGCCAAAAACAGGGAGAAGCTGCAGAGGCTCAAGAATCATCTTCAGAGATCCAGGAACCATCCTCATCGACCCAGAACCTGCATCGCGATATAGATATCGAGAGTCCAAAGCCTCCTCTAGCGTTCCTGAGAGAAGAAGGACCTTCAGAGATCCTCAACAACGAAGAAGACCCAGCCCCCGAGAGCCAAGACGAGCCACCTTTTGAGTTTTAAGAGCAACGAACTTGCTCCAGAGGGATCCTTCCTTCAGAGAACCTTCCCAGAAAAGGAGCCACAATTGTAAACCACAAAATTGTTTATTATTTATACAAATTTATGCCACAACATCTGCTGTTGTTGCCCCAAAAACTTTCCCCCTGCCTGTTTCCTTCTCTCTTTTTTTTTTTTTTTTTGCTTTGTGTGTTGTTTGTGGGTTTTCATTTTTCGGTTTCCTTGTGGACTTTTGGGCTCTGCCTTTTATTTGCTTTTCATTTTTTGCTTCAGCGGGTTTTGTTCCTTCCCCTTTGCTCCCGTTTTAATTCTCGCCTGTCGTCGGTTTCTCTCTCTGTTTCTCTCCTGTTGCCATGTTAGCCGCAATTGATTTGCCGTAAATTGTATTTTTAATCTGTCCAACAAATGCCATTCCATCGACAGGCGACGGACGACGGACGACAGACGATAGACGACAGACGATTCCACGAATCGACAGTCGACGCCTGCCTCGACATTCGATTTCGTTGCATTTCGTTTCGTTTTTTTTTATAGGAATATCGTTGGTTGAAAGCGATTCTGTTTGTGTTTTCTTTAGAGAGGGGCAGAGAGTAGAGGATTGGGTGTTAATGAGCGTGTCAGTTGCTTTATTTATTTATTAGGTAATGGATATGGTCTGTCCTGTAAAAAGAGTGTTTCGGTAAAGCATTTCACTTGAATTTCTATGAAAAATTGAGGTGCAAAAATAACGATAATCATTGGGATAGGAATATAACTTAAAGCTCTTTAAGAAGAAATAATTTTTGTATATCTCTACTCAATGAAAGTCTTATATGAGGCAGAAAAGAAAGTCTTACCAGTCAGAAATCTTAAATTTATTTTCCTATATCTTATAGAAGGAAACATAGAACTGAATCGTTTCTTTTTAGGCCTTAAATCGCCTCGAGAATTACTTTTAAATCCCAATCTCAATTCCTTTTCACAGAACATCCTTCTGTAGTAGGCGTTTATTTATTTTTTAGATTTTTTTAGATGCTGCAATCGATTAAATTGCAAATTGAGCAGCAGCACCTGCCCCTCCCTTCCATTAACACATCAAAGGAAGAGGCATACCAAAAAAAAAATAAAGAAAAAAAACAACAGTTTTTCAGAGAAAAAGAGAAATAAGAAAACAAAAGTCGAACATTATTTTTGGCAATTGCCTTGAAAATACATGCAGAAAAAAACAAAATAAATATGATTGACAGACGAGAGAATTGCATTAATGTCACTCATACGACAACAGTTGTACATTCTACCTTTCAACCCCCTTTATGCCACTCAACAACCCAACACCCACTCTCTATGCATGTTTTTCCAGTGTTGAGTAATTGAATTTGTGCCAGTGTTGATTTGATGAGAGATGTGGGGGAGATGCTGCTGTTTCTAGAGCACGAATAAAGGTGGATAGATGGATGGATGGATGACTGCTTCTAGTGGAATCAACGAGGATATGGGTGAAAGTATATTCAATATTTCACAGAGAAGCCTCCTCCCATGCGGCTGTAGCATGTTGGGCAGAAGGGGAAATGAGCTTTGACATTCCTTTCGAATGCATTTGGTGTATGTTTTTTCTGTGTGTACGGGATATGTATATTTATACTGATATATTGTACTCCATTGTTGAAGAAATTTTATTAAGAATTACTAGATGTGACTTAATTATAGAATGGATGTTTTATTCGTTTGTTTTTTTGAACTTTTCCCCACGTTTTATCTCTATATTTAGTCATTCTGTGTGTAATATTTATCCGAAAGATATACGTAAATACTGCGGGATACGAATATATTTTTACCTGTCCTCTTTTAAGATCTCCACTTGCTTTAAATCTCTTTCCCAACATCCAAATCAGAGTTCTTAGCTGATTATCGGGCCACGCACACCGCACTCTTTGCTCTCAGCTGCTGCTGCTACCCCAGGACTCCCTCTCTCTCTCTCTCCCTCTCTTTTCCTTATATGAACTCTAAACTCTCAACTGTCGGTACATGCTCACGCGTGTGCATAGGAGATGGAGGCGATGGATATGGGTGGTATATCGGCGGGGGGGTCTGCTCTGCTGTCAACGCAACAGCAGTTCTCGAGAAGAGAAATATGTGAACTTCTGTCAGAGGCATCCTACATACATATGTACATACATATGTTGGCATCACATTTTTAAATGTATTTTTGTGTCATGGCAGCAGCAGAGATGCAGAGGCAGGAGTCAGAGTCATGTTCGTGACTGCAGTAAATTCCTGACTATCCCCTAAAAAGTAAAAAATACACAAAAACTTAAGAAAAAGAACGTAGGACGAAGGACGGCCGCAATGCATGTCTGCAATTTTTTAAGCAAACATTTTATTTGCTCAAATGCTAAGAAAACGAAGTAGAAGGCAGCTTCTGAAAAGACTTGAGACACAGTGGAACCCGAGGCAAACCCCCTACACCCCACATCAAAATAGCAAAAGAGAAAAACTTCTTGCATTTTTCTATCATTTTTCCTGTTGTTTTTCGTTCCTTCTGTTGACATTTTGATACAAATCTTCAATAAAATAAGAAGAAAATCAAGTGGCCAGAGCATAAACACAACGACAGCAACCAGAAATAAGTGGGAAATCTGGTGGAAAGTTAGGAAAATGCATGCCATAAGTGGCATTGTTCTCCAGGTATGAAAGTTTGCAGGACATAAAGCTGGAATTTTGAAGGGAATTTCACTTGAAAAAAGATGGTTGATGGGTGCTTTAGAGGAAGATTCTTCAAGTGGTAAAAATATAAGAGGTTATAGAACTTGTAAAAGTAAGAATATGATATGGGAGATATCTGAATGATTTGAATTAGGAATAGATCTGTTAAAAGATACTCTTTAGTCTAAAGTGTCCACAAGGGAACCCGAAAAATGTAGGCCCTAAAGTTATATCCTACACTTTTCCTTTTCCCCCCAGGCACCCTTCAACACCTTCGTTCATACGGAAAATCCTTGTTGTCTGCTCGTACTGCCTTTTCTGTCCTCGTGTGTTGTGTTTTGTGGTCAAGCATATGGCAGAACAGAACACCGAAGGACAGGACATACTGGAGGACATGCTACACCTCATCCTCCTGAAGGCAGCAATCACGTAAAAACCCACAAAAGCCCCGAAACACACACACACAGAAAAAGTTGTTAGCCAATTTACTAAAATGTCCAATGGAAGTAAGTCTCTCTTTCTCGTTTGCCACTCGTTCCACTCGTTGTGCTCTGTTCTGTGTGTGTACTTTTATCCGTGTTTCGTATTGAATAACAAATTATTTGTGGCATCTGTTTAGGGCTGTGGGAAGCTGTAGGAAAGCAGGAGAAAATGGACAATGAGCGGGCGTTAAACGTCGCTTGTTAGATGTCCGTCAGAGTCATTGAGTCATGGATCCTATCCTCTTGTTGTTTGCTCATTCGAATGGAAGCTTGAAACACCAGGAATTAAGATAGTTTAATGTTCTCTCTCCTTCTCTCTCTCTCTCTCTCTCTCTCTCTCTCTTTTTTGAATGAAGTTCAGAGTTGAAACTATCTTTTTGTGGCGGCTGATGCTGCTGCTGCTGCTGTCATGCCCCAAAGGAGATGGATTCCCCATCCCCAGCTCAATCTCAATCTCCCCTACTGCTGGATACGTGAGTAATTTTCCAATGAATAGAAAACATTTTTGAGTAGAAGCGCATATAACTTTTAATACAATTTGTAGGCTCTGCTGACCTCCGAACTCGCTGGCTGTGGCTCTGTGGTTGGTTCTCTCTTCATTAGGATTTTCCCATTTTTTATTTCATTTTTTTTAAATGTGTTTTTTATGGCTTTGCCAAAGCCAGGGAATTTATTGCCGCAGGTTCAAAGCATTTTCGATGGGTGGCCGTGCCCCTACACTTATCGGTCGGCTGGCGTCGACACGCTTGCTGCATTTTCAATTGCATTTCCAATAAATTTCCAATTTTTCCCAGCCTCAAGTTTCTCTTCTTTTGCTTCCTTTTTCTTCTGCCAAATTGCAGAGAGAAAGAAAATTCGCGTAGCATTTAATTTTCACATGACTTCCGCGTGAACTGCAAGCGAGAGAGAAATGCATTTTGAGGCCAGAGGTCGAAGATTGAGGCTAGGAGGTTCCTCTGGGAGTTCTTTGCTGCTGGTGCTTCTGCTGCCTGCAAAAGGCGTGTTGCAGGATGTGTAATTAGTGGGCGTGGCGTGTGTTAATTATCCTCCTAATTGGAGTTTGTGGTGAGGCGAAGGGGAATGGAATGGAATGTTGTTAAAAATTGCCCCAAAGACCATGGGAGCAACGGAATGAAATTATTGTTAAAAGTGGTGTCCTGCTTCTTAGGGCCTTATTTGGAAAGGCATATGGTGTCACAAAGGATGATGACTCTTGAGCTACTTTATTGGGAGTCACATTTGGGTCACATTTTGTCATGCCACTTCCCTCTACGAGAACAAGGTTCATCGAATATCGTTTCGAATATATGAGAAAAAATTTAATTATTATTAAACGTTTGAGCTAGTTTTGATCTTTTTTAAACCCTTTAAATTCTGCCCATATGCTCTGTATACGGTAGACTTCTGAGGAGATTTCCTTTTTGTATAGGTTCCCTTAGAATTTTTCCTATAAATACAATTGATAGTACGAGTCATGTTGGTAAAATGCATTAAGAATGGTTTATTTAATTTTAATTTATTCACAAATATTATCTCTGGAATATTTTTATTTCATCAGGGGTTTAACTTTATACAAACTTAAAGGGTCACACTATAGGTGGTTGGAATTACGTAGGGACACTCTGTAAAATACTGTTCATACATTAAAGAAATATGGTAACACTTTAAATACTCGAGATGCAGTAACTACGTAATTTTGGTTTTTTTGAATTTGATTTTAATTGTGGGAACCCAGACTATCGCTGGCTCCAAGGGATTTATTGTAAAAATAAAAAGAATCTTTTTTTCCCATTTACTCTAATCGTCATATTGTCATGTGTATCCCCAGACGCAGGGTCTGGCCAGAACCCAGACTTTATACATTTACATCCAGAAAGAACAACCAAATAGAATGGCTCTCCAGGGTTAAAAAGATTTTTTCTGTCTCCCCAAAAAGTTTTCTATTTAAGAAAACACTTTAAAACAACTTTACAA